CTCCGATGGCCGATTTTTGAGCGCGCGCCCAATCGGGCCCATCAGGGTGAAAAATATAGCCATCCGTTCAAAATACAAACGCGCGATTATGATTTATGAATATCATTGATCATATTGAACCTATTTCTGACCATAATAGGTGTATTTCAAGTTTCGCTTCAGTATCCCTTTAAACCTAGTTTAAAATCGCGTAATTTTGAAAATTTCAAGCGCAGATGCGCGGATTTTGCTATGCAAGTTATCGTATAATACTATGTTCGATAAAGAGACCAACCGGGTCCCATTGCGTATTTACCTGCGTGCAAATAAAAAAAAAAGGAAAACTGTGTCGGATTGGCCGGTCTCCCCGGCGAAAAGTAAATCCGGTTGCTGTACCGTTTTTACTATACAAAGTTTGTACTGGTGTAGACCTTTAGCGACCTTGAGTGGAAGTCTGAAAACATAAATGAAAACGTGCTTTCCTGCCGCAATACACGCAGTATAGTGGAGCCTGGGTAGAACTGCCGGCTGGCTCCACTGCTATTTAAGTAACGGAACAAAGATACACTAGTCATCATTTGCCAAAATAAAACAATAGAGTGCTATAGGCTGATTTTGGCGTAGCCATAACTATTCTAAGAACGCGAACCACTTCACAACGGCAGCCACGAGCGAGAGTTCGATGTTCGGCACAGCCCGCCGGTACTTCCCAAAGATGAAGATCGGCAACCTCCCGGTTTGTCGTCTGCTAGCGGAGTCGGGCGCGTGCCCTCTCTCTCGTTTTAGCCCGCCGAACCCGCTGATTTTCCCGGATGTATGGAGAGGCCGCTGCAGTTGAACAAAATGGCGCCGCCCTGAGAGCGCTAAAACTCTCCTACGTCCCGCCGCGGTGGTGGCGCGCCGGACGCACTTCCGGTCTGGGGCGGTGGGCAGAAGAAAAATTGGCAGAAGTCGCCCTGCCAGACATGCATTCCTGTGTTCCTTTGGAAGAAACGAGACAAAAAACCTGCCTTCTCGTCAAAATGTTGCGACGGGGGCTGTACCAAGAGAGTCTGGAAAGGTTTGAAGATCAGTTTTCATGTGTTTCTGCCCCCTCCGTTCGTCCGAGAACGTGGATAGTAGCCGTGAAAAGGGCAAACCAGACGCTGTCGAACTACGATTGCGTGTGAGGGCAACACTTTGTGGTCGCCAGATGTATTTGTTTTGTTCCAACATGAACGAGAGAAAACCGCCAAGTTGTCCGAACCACCCACGGGTTCAGTGCGTCTTCAAATTCACACGGCCGCTTGATCGTTCGAACTGTCGTCTGCTCTTTCAAACTTGTCTGTTTTTTGTCGCCTGCTTTTTCAAACTTGTCTGCTTTTTGTCGTCTGCTCGTTCAAACAAAAGCGGCCCGTAGACCAAACTTTGACCTGGTGATTGCAATAAGAAGTAATTGCAGGCCTCAAAACACTTAAGTAGGCTCGGTGTAAACAGTAGATACAAGATGTTGATCATTGGTACCGGTGGCCATCACCGACTTGTTACGCTTGGTCTGTTCCCGCTTCCGATTTTCAGTATTGACGTCGATCATCGCCGCTACCTTCTACACTTTTGCAGCGCGAGCGACGTCGCGACCGAAAATAGCTAGAAGAATCTCATCAAGGTTTGGCGTCCATTCTGCGGCGTTCATGCGAATGAATCGCCGCACGTCAAATTATTTACGCGAAGTTTAGCGGCGTAATGAGCCTTGATAATTTCGCTCAGGCGATTAAAGTGGTAAGACATTGCGATGAGGACGTAGAATCAACAACTCCAACGCGAAAAAGAGTATGCAGACTCACACAAGACGCCGACAACGTAACATTCCAGTGGTTTGTTGACGCGGGACGGCGGTGCTTCTTGCCCGTACTCCATTACGCATGCGTTCGAACTGTCGTCTGCTCTTTTAAACTTGGCTGCTTTTTGTCGTCAGCTCGTTCAAACGACAGCGGCCCGTAAACCAAATGTTGACCCGGTAATTGTGATAAGAACTAAGTGCAGGCCTCAAAACACTTTTGAAGGTTGGTTGGGGTAAGTGCTAAGTGTAAACAGATACAAGAAGATGTTGATCATTATTGTTACCAGTGGCCATCACCGACTTGCAATGCCCGATTCTGCTTGCGGTTTTCAGTATCGACGTCCACCATCTCAGCTACGGTCCACGCTTTTGCCGTCCGAGCAGCGTCGCGACTGAAAACAGCGAGCAGAATCTCATCGTGGGAGTCAGGCTTTAGCGCCCATTCTGCGGCGTCCGCGTGAAATGAATCGCCGCACGTCACGTTATTCACGCAAAGTTTTGCCTCGTTAGTTTTGCTGAAGCCGCTCAAGTAGTCAGACATTGTTAGGTGGACGTAGAGTCAACAATTCCAACGCGAAAAAAGAGCACGGGGACTCCCACCGACGCCGACAACGCAATTCAATGGTTTGTTTATGGGCGACGGCGGGCTTCTTGCCCACCATCCACCTCGCATGCGCGGCTCCAGTGGCGTCCGCTCGGGGCGCTCCGGTTTGTTTGTAAACATGAGTTGGTGTATACTTGCAGAAGTTCCTAAGCGCATACTATCACGCAATGCTCTCCCAAAACTGGTCATCTCTCTTCCGTGAATTACATTAACCAATGAAAAGGACGATTGGCACTAGGTTCTAATGGCCATGCGGCACCAGTAGCAGGAAGGGACGACGCCTTGTAGCCAATGCGACTCCGCGGCAATTGGATCATGGCAATATTCTCCCTTCTTATTGGTTGATTCGATTAAAAAGAGTGATTGGTATTCTGACTGACTCGCGCAGCTGTAGACATGTAGGAGCTTCGTGTACAGTTTCAACATCTTCAACGGAGTGAACCAAATTTGGGCGATAGTGTTTTGATTAATTTGCAATAGTGTGGCATCGGAGGTAACGATCACGAGCGGAAGACCTATCTGAAGCTGGCGTGTCAAAGTACCACCTCAATATGTCTAAAAATACCCAGTTTCCCTTTTTCCGCGGAGCACGCGATGTAGACCAATTACTTGGATCCACGGAGCGAGACCAGCAAACGGCGAGGCAAAAAATAAAAAAAAAAAAAATAAAAAAATGACTGATGTGAAAACCCGCATTACTCTCTATGGAAGTCTTCGTTGTCCGTCCCCCCTTTCTATGTATCTTCCTCATGTTTAATTACTCTCTATACATTTCCCTCTCCTGCGTGTATTTATAACACAGCGAAGAAACCATAACGACAGAATGTTACAAAATAGCGCAAGCTAGCGTAACCATCCCATTCGATCAACGCGCTCAAAATTTTAGACATATTTTCTCTTTCAGTCTTTACGGAAACTAGCTATTTGGCGCAAGGGGTGCATTAGGAGTGTCTGGGATAAACCTAAGCCGTATTCATCGCCGCAGAAGATGCTGAGAATAGAAGACGGAAAGAGAATCCTTCGAAAACGGTGCTGTTGAATCTGACAAGGGCAGTGTATACTTCCACTCTAAAAAAGTTGGCGAGTTAAACTTTCCGCAAAACATGGAGAGAGCTACTAATGGCGAACAATTGAAGAGTCACAGCAATTGACGAAGCTCAGAATACGACAAGATTGAAAGAAACACGATGTGCGTAGGTTATAACTATGATTATGACTATGAATCGCTGGGATCCTTTTATAGTGTGCGCCGTGATCGGCTGTCTCGATGTTATCCAGAAAAGTAAATTCACAAACGTATTTTGAGCTGTAGAGTATAAACCAACAAAGTCAGACTCTAGAACTGTGGGACCCAAAACTTCCTAAATAAACGCGTCTTTTCTTCTGATTCAGAAACCGCGGTATTCTCTCAAAATATTGCACCTTGACATCACCATTTTTTGTCTCAGCCAAAATCACAAAACCAGACTTTCGAGTACAACGCAAAAGTGCGGTTCTGTGTGTTTCGCAAGCGCGCAGCCACGCGCCTTTGAAGACACGTGAGAGGCAATGCCCCCTGCAGGGTCTAAATTACGACGACCGCCTGGAAGACACCCCGAACGTCGCAAACTCACCCCTAACCTGACAGCGCGACGGCAGCCACGCGCTCGCCTAACCAATCCCCCGCCTCACCTTCCTCGCCTGACCTCGCCCCCCGCGCGTGGCGTGGCGAGAGATGTTCGCGTGACTGATCCAACGGGTACGATGGCTTCCGCCGCTGTGTCATCTCGGCGGTGAGCGGAGCGGTGCGTGGCGCCGAACTATGGCAGCGTGACGGGGCCCACCCCCGCACTATACTCCCAATCAGGGGGCTTTCCTGGCGGCCTTGACTAGGCCTGGAGCTTCGACGACAAGCCTCGCGCCGCTCCCTTTATAAAAGAGCGTCGAAGATGTTTGCAGATCACAGTCCCGAAGCAGCAGCGAGCCCGCGGTACACGATCGGTGAGTGTTTGCACGTTTCTCGCTTCTCCTGCATTCAGCCGCGCGCGCCTCGGGCCATCGGTGCCTTCCGGGGGCAGCGGAAAGATGTTTAAGAACTCGCAGAATACTTTATTTTAAGGACGACAGCCGGCAGTTTGTTATGACTTTAGTCTTCCATACGGCTTTCCTTCCATATTCGGCGTGTAAGGTTTCAAAAAATTGTGTCTTCGACTCTTTGGAGCGGAGGCACACCGATCAAAATACAGCGTAGAGAACGCGCAACCAACGCACGGTGGTGAGCCAGCCAAGCCTGCGCCGTCATTAGTTGAGACCGGGGGAAAACAAAAGCGCATGGGAGCGAAGAGCACACAAACTTGCACGCGGTTATGCCGCCGAGGCTACGATCCATAGCCAATCAAGTAGCGTCAAAAGTGCAGCGTCATGACGCTCGTTGTCTTTCTCTGTCTGCCACCGGCTAAATCAATCACGCACCCTCCCCACCTTAATATCAAAAACAAAACAAAAAGGCGCACATTTACTGCACCGGCAGGAACATCAAGATGTGTCAGGAACCGCAGTCATTCCCTTTCATGATTTCGAAGCCACTCTTCCGCGTGTCCGATGTGGCGCGTAGAGCCCTCGCAAAATGTCACCATGAGTAACATGACGAAGGAGCGCTGCTTTTCCGGAGAGATCTTTATCGTGTGACGCTATAATCATTCGTATATCTAAGTCGTATATCTAAGTATCTCTTATATCTAAGTCCTAAAGCAGCGGTGCTTCCCCAAAAGCACTCCGAAATATTTATTGCCTAAACTACTTTACGCTTTGTTTTCCCATTTTCTTACGAAGTCAAATAAAGAAATAAAGACTGCGATAAGTCGAGTGTCAGCGATAATTTAGTCACATTGAACCAGCAGGTCTGATATATTTAGTCGTTTCTAACGACTGCTTCTCCTCTGCATCGCAGAATCGACATGATGTCCTGCAAGTCCCTCCTGGTGGCTCTTGTGGTCCTGGCAGCCTTGTGCAGCCTAGCGGCCGCCCAGTTTGGCTACGGAGGCTACGGCCGCGGCTACGGAGGTTACGGTGGCTACGGTCGTGGGTACGGCGGCTACGGAGGCTACGGAGGCTACGGAGGTTACGGCCGCGGATTCGGCGGCTACGGTCGTGGATACGGCGGCTACGGACGCTACGGTTATTTCGGTTGAGTCACGACTTGGCTAACCCCGACGACATCAACGTGCCACACCTGACCATGCGGGAAATCACGAAGAGGGAATGTACTGTTGAGCAATAAGCATCGCACAATAAATTATTTCTTCACAGTCACACGTCTCGCAGTGTTTCTGTGTTTGTTTACTTTTTTCAAAAGTAGAGGCGGCTGTTTGTTCGCAAAATGTGTAGTTGCATAACGGTAAACTAGGCTCTACACTCTCTCAGAATGTCCCTGTGTGGGGATAGCCTTCTAACGTCAATCACCGGCGTTCTTTCAATCAGTCTGGCCAAACATAAGGGCAGATATCGCTCAGGCGGCACCAAATAGAAGGAGCATTTTCCCAGCAGTACCGAGCTCGTGAAGGTATCTATGGTACAGAGGCTTGGCAGCACCAGCACATGCGCGCTGACTAAATTTCAGTTTTTGTTTCCTCTTATTCCGTCCACTTCGATTCATCATTGCCAGAAAATAGCGGGTCATTGGCCTTTTTAGATTACATGCTGCCCTTTTTCCCCAGCCAATCGGCCCTTGTGGAGGTTCGTCAACGCCCGCTCCAGTAGCAATCGACATCTAGGTAAGGGCCGAGGAGGGAAGGTCAGCAATGGCTGATGTAATCTGGCGCGTGTGTAAAGCGCCTATGCGGATCGCAAGTTCGTCTGCTTGTTTTGCAGGGGTCCTGGTGTCGTCAGAGCACCTAGCCCTGGTTGGCTCCGATTCAAGGATAGTGGGTAGACCTTAAGGCAGCTTGCTTGGAGGTCTATCCTTTAATCTAAGCCAATCAGAGCTCGGCGTCGTTCTGACGTCACCACAACCCCTACAAAGGAAGCAGACGGACTTGCGCTCCGCATGGCTTTTTAGACATGAGGATGCGGCGAGTGACCGGAACCGTTCCAACACCGTGTGTCACTACACGACCTTGGAGAGGAGAGCGCAATGTCCCGCAGAGTGCGTAGTCACGTGATGCACGTCCACAGTCTTGGGTTGGCTGAAGGATGGCTTGTAGCGTCCGCTGCGGTCCAACCTCCAACGTAAGGTAAAACGGAGCGTAGTGTACACACGAGTGGGTGAGCGTCCTCCTTGTACCTTTTTTTAGCCCCCTTACATTTCCTTATGGATTGCTCGTCGATCGACTGTCACTTTCGTATATGACGCCGGAGAGGCACTGACAGGCTAAGGCGCGCAGAGCGCGGCCTATGATGTTCACGATTCTTGCTTCCTGATTGGTTCGTTTGCATTCGTATCGGCTAATACCGCAACCTCATTGGTTGCTGAGCGATAATGAGATGCACGGGGATCGCCGCACCCTGCGCTCCGTAAGTCGTCAGTGTCTATTATTATAGACCTGGCGGGCGCCACCATCTTGAATCGCGGACCTTATCCGGTATGCGAGAAAAAAAAATATTTTTGCCTTCGCCACATTACTGGGAGAAGATCGCGTTTTAATAGCGCCTGTTTATCATTTTTGTTTTGCCTTTTCTATGTTGTTGTTTTTTTATTCCAGGTTTTAACGCACTTGCTGTTTTGTTTTTTGTTTTGTTTTTCATGCCGCTTACCGGATTCGTCATCTACGCTGCATTCTATATCGGCTAATGTCAGGTTCTCATTGCTATTGGAAAGGTAATAAGATGTACTCATTTAGGCGTGCCGTTATGTAGCACTTGTTTAAGCGAGCCATGCTGGAAACTACGATGTTAATTCTGTGAACGAAATCGGGTTTGCTTTTGTGTGTGGTAACACACGACGAAACTCCCAGATGATATCGTTAAGAAGGACGAACGGACACAACACGGCCTTCTTCATACCCCAGACAATATGGCGATCCGTGAACACGCGTAATATATTTCGGGTACAGTTTGCCTGCTGTTCACGTGCGTTTCCCGTTCCGTATGAATTTATTTATTTTTGTATCCATGTCCCTACCGTCAGTAGCATGAAGGGTCCCTCGTAACGTTCACAGAGTCATACAGCATGTAAACTAATGCTTCTAAGTCATTTTAGACGGCCCGAAAAAATCGGTTCCTCAACGTATTGCGCTGCAACTCACTACGGAGGTGCAAGCAGGTGGTGGAACTTTACAGTGAAAAAAATCAGAAAATAAACTTACCCCGTTAATAATAGATAACAGAAACTTGTTCTGTGCAATCTACGCCCAGGGGCGGATCCAGAACTCCGTTTTGGGGGGAGGGGGGGGGGGGAATTTTTAAGGATACTATTTTCCCATTCTTTCGTGCGCACCGGGGGGTCCACTCATGTCAAATTGCCCTCCGAGAAGGTGGGAAGGGTGGGGTCGACTTTGTTTGGGGGGGGGGGGGGGGGGGGGGCGGCCGCCCCCGTCGCCCCCCCCCCCCCCCCCCATCCTTGGATCCGCCCCTGCGTACGCCGCCATTTCGTAGACGATGCACGCGCAGTGAGAAGTTCCAAAACATTAGACATTTTAGTTTACTTATTGAATTGCAAACGCTGAGAGCCCGTGGATTGACGAACCTGGGGAAACAAACATAAACCAGTGTTGAGGTCAAGTATAGCAGGCATAATATAACTAATATCTACAAGAGCATGCAACACACATTTTCTAACTTTCCCGTTGCTTTCTGCGGACTCATGCAGCATGTAGCTAATTTTAATACATACCAATTTACACTGAAATACTGACCCTCTTCATTTGGTACTAGATATATAATCGGAGGTCGTTCCATTCAATGAGGTGACATTATTGGGGATCGGTGCATACTGCTCAACCACAGAAAGGACAAGACAGGGCAAGATAATACATATTAAAAAAAACAAAAAAACTTTAAGCTCAGTTATAGCCTCCTCTATACTCACAAACCTGGCAGTTCGACGACGGAGCCTTAGAGTGCCCGGTCGCATATTTGGAGCGCGAAGATTTGATAGCACCGACCATTTCTCGGAGAACTTGGAGGTCGGCGCACAGCTTTTGTAGTGGCGAGATTCGAAACATGGTTTTCGAACCCGACGAGAAAAGAAGCGGTAGCGCGTGGAATGCTGGGAGCACGAGCGGACATTCCATCGCTCGGGAGAAGTGTGTTTTGGCGTCTCGCCGCAGCGGGGCAACCGTCACGTGGCTCTCTTCTCATTCGTTGTCTGCCGCTCTACCACTTCAATTTTGGCGGCCGCTTCCCGTGGCGATCTGCCAGGTTTTTAAAAAAACAGGCTAACAGTGGCATATCACGGGCTGAATTTTTCATGTACAACGGAGATATCAGACCCGGGTTGGGGCTGATCCAGTTCCCGCGGTCTAAACGTATACACGCAACACAGTAGACGGATTTCACAGCCAGTTTTAGTACGCAACCGCTGCCGCCATGCATCGTGGAAACTGTAGTCTTTATGGCTCAGCATATGGTCGCCAACTGATTCGCGAGCTCGTCGGGAGCTCGCGCTCGTGCCCGCGGCACGCCCCTGAACGTCACCACCGGCGTCAGCGCGCACATTGTTGCCCGCTTTCCACGCACTTCACCGAACGCCGTTTCATCGAATCGCTTTACGCCATTTAGTCAAATGTCGTGAAGGCTAGCAGTTTTGCGATGCTTGAAAATTAGTTAAAATATGATGTTAATGGAATTAATGCGAAGGTAGACCTTGATTTTTATTTAATGACCATAAATGTTTGATTGCGTAGGTAATTTTTATCACAACTTTGGTGAAATGCGAGATACAAATAGAGTGAACATGTGACTCTGTGAAAGCCATGCTAAAAAAAAACGCGCACTTTAAGCATAATAATTGTAATAGTAATAATAGTTTATTCACCATATATATATGCTGGGCGCTGGAAAAGAAAACTGTACAAGTACTTTGACTGGTCCCCAGTCCCCTAAGCTGGCTCTCAGTGGTGACGAAAATATATAAAGCAGGGCCGTTTCTTCATATAAAAACGAAATAAGACGGAACAAAACACTAAAATATCAACAATAAGAAGGTTATGAGTGAGCATAAGCCTCCAATAGGAATGCAACGGTCAAAGGCAATACACGCTAAACAATTTATATAGCGTAAAATCAGTTCGTTTCGGAGTTAGCAGAAGAATAGACCAGTGAACAGTATTTACCTTGACAGTAAGAAGTTATTAAGATTCCGTGAGCTAATGGGTGCTATATCAATATTGGTTTGCATGAATGTGTTTAATAACGGAGACAAGGTTTTATAAAATATACGAAGAGCCGTTTGAGTACAGTAAACGATACATTTGAAGTGTGACCTGTAATCTCAGCTTAGGGACGTGAAGAGTGGAGAGTATTCTGTGGATACGAGAATGATCTCTATTTCAAGTACCTTTGTACTTTTGAAATAGCTTCATCTATACCCTCATGAAGCGCTTGTGAGGTACAAATACTCAAAATAAATTCTATATGTTGTGTATATATCTGATATTTACGGAACATTACGAATCTTTTTTTTTTTTAACTAAGGCAAATATATTGTTGTACGTAACAACTAAATATTTATAGTGATTGTTTTACATTCATTTTATTTAGAGCAACATTATAAGATATATAAATTCGAAGTTTTAATTTCGCAGCAATAATTCTTTTTTTCATGAATAATTTTTTCTATGCCTTTTGGTAGCCGTAAAATATCAATATTAAATATAAAACAGTATCTGTCTGACACCTTTTTGGCCAGATGCGGGCTTGTGAGTGCCTCGCTGTACATCTGTCCTGCTGGTCATTTCTGAATGAGCTTAGTTGCCCAGTACTGGTACCGAAACAGTAAGTTAATTGGCAGAAGAATTAAAGCGTTCACTTCAAATGCGCGTCCTTTGTGAGTCGCGCGTGACATTGTCATAAAAGACGCAGACGTGGAAAGACGCAAGCTTTACGTATATGCCTGCTATCCCTACATGCTCGCTATCTGTAGGACGCTTCTTTCTTCTGCGACAACTCAAAACAAAAACTAGTATCGCCTAGACCCTTATAGAGCGTTTCAACAGGCCCTACGTTCGCAGTGTACGTACGAATTATATACCTCATCACTGATTGCTGTGTGGTAATGTGCTCGAAATTGGAAACGAGAAGTCAGCCCCTGAATCATATTTACATTTTAAACTTGTTTATTCCTATTTGTTTTGCCCATCAATTGAGTCAGGCAGAAGCGTGTGACTCTCCTCAATAACTATAGTGCGGGTATGAAAAAGAGAGAAAGAACTGAAAACAATGACGAGAAGGTTAACCTGAGAGCTTAGTCACGGCTTGCTAATTTGTACGGGGGGAATGGAAACAGACAAGGAAAGTAGCGATGAAAACGTCACTGGCATGAATCCTTTGTCATGAAACACTCTTCCTGCTGTAGTTGTTGTTCTAGGCAGCCAGTCCAGCGAAGGCGATGAACATGACTTTGGGGTCAGCAAAGAAATTAAAAAAATTAAATCTGTTGAGAGATCGTGTGTCCTGCTCGCCTGGCCGCAGGAAAATTTGATCCCAGTAGCCGCCCTCAAAACTATTTTCGACAAAGACGTCATCAGCAAACTTCTCCGCTTTGTTATGCGCAACAAAATAAGCGTTATTTAGCCGCGGACGATTAGATCATCATCACGTTCCGCAACTGCTAGCTTTGCGCCTGCTTCACGAGTGGTAACTTTGGCGCGCCTCCGAGTTTCCCACAAGCTTCAAGTCGTTCTCAAAAGAGTAGATTTAGTGGTTTTCGATGACGCTCTCTAAGTTTCTGATTGGAACCATGTGTTTATTTCCACTAATTAAAAAAGTTAATTGACGAATTTGAATTAATAAGCCGACTTATCGCAAAGATTAGCCACCCATATAATGTCCCCCTCGCCGTATAACTGACCTGAACAAACCGTATTAGGGCATCTTTTACGGAATATTTGTAATAAGTACGTTCGAATTCTAAAAAAAGTCACCCGGTATAAACATATTATAGCCCAATTTCCGTAATGAACAAAGCCCTGTCTTTGTAAAATTTTAGGAACATTAGTTATTTTTCCACAAAAATCCGGAAGGGAGCAAGCTGAAATGATACATTTTAGCTACTTGATTCTTGTACCTAGTTCTGTCGGTTGTTATAAATAGGTGAAAACAAAAACACTCAAATTAATCGTTTTTTGCAAACGTATGACGCGTGGCTTATTCTTTACCTTGAACAAAAAACAAACAAAAAGCTTAGGCATGTGTATCTTATGCCAGCAATAAAAAATGCCAAACATCACATCTTTGAACTTTTCGTGACATACTTAAACCCTTTTCCTTATGATTCATATCGTGCATTTTGCATACTAAATAACATCCGCCATTAGACCAATACATGTTCTATTGACTAGTACCATTTTAGTTTAATTTATTTTCAAAAATGCGATGTTTGACATAGACAGGCATTGGCACCCTATGTACAAAACAACGCAAACATAGCAAGACAGTTCAGATAAGTCCCGCACTTGAATGGTACATATCATCAATTATCGGAAATATACTCGTTCATTGCTCGAATTTATTTTCGTGGCATTGAAATACACTGCGTAAAGGTATCATCAGTCTGGAATGCATAAGACACACGAAGTCACCGGGACATTTGGGTAAATTACCCAAGCACCAAGCATCACGGCGAGATTGTAGTTACAAGAGCTGCGCGTGATGGCGTCTGCTGCAGTACCCGTCGTAAATAAAACTAAAATCTAAAACAAACGACGATCTGCACGCGCGTTCGCCAACGCCTTATTTGTATCATTTGCTTCCTATCTTTTATTCAGAAAAGGCGAGCGCGCGCAACTTGCGTACACCTAGATTCCCAAATGCCAACATTTTTCTTTGTGCTTCGGTGATTTGAAAAGCAATCTACGTCATGTATTGTTCATAATAAAAACCTCCGGTCCACAGAAAAAAACAAATATTGTCCATAATTTCACCTGTCCATAATAACGAATGAAGATCAAGATCCCAAGTAATACACAACAAGCGTGACCACAAATGGCAATGCTTATCTTGGACATATAACCTTAACTCCTTCTAAGCGGTCAGGGAAGTGTTGGTCTTTACGCGCAAGTGGTACACACCCACAGCTTTGTCATTCCGAGTGAAAACACATATAGAGAGGGAAGGGCAAGCGACCCATTTGGCTGGAAAGCCCCGAAAAATGGAATCAGTGTTCGGTGTCCTAATCTTGTCTCTTTCTCAGCAGTGGCAACCCACAGCGGACAATGCTGAAGCTCTGAGCGTGCTCGGCGACCCTGGGAGTTCACTTTTGTTTAGATTTTTTTTCCTCTTTAAAATTTTGAACCGTATTTAGAAAGGTTGTGTCTATAATAACCAGGCAAAGATACATGTGTTTGCACAGTCATGTCCATAGTTTGGAACCATAGTTTGTCCCTAGTTTGGAACCCGGGTTTCTGTACTAACAAGGCAGAACCGCACGGGGACGGCTTAAACCCCGAAATTTGTGTCTTCATTGCGGGGTGGTGAATGTTGATCGGGTCTAAATTAATAAGACATGACTGTATTGCTTTCGATTGTTCCAGTTCAAGAGTTTAGCTCACGCAACTTAATAACTTCCCGTCCAGTAGCGGAAACGAGCAGAAAAATAAGACGATCTATATATGCGCAAGCTAGAGGCGAACTAACATAGCACGTCCACCAAACGACCTCGAGAGCTGACAAAAAATAACAATGACGTCAACGCAGAAGCCTAAAATAACCTCACAATTTCTTGGCCACGTGCTACAACTTTCCGTCTATCTACGTTTAAAAAGCTCTCTCTCTCTCTCTCTTGGATATTTCCACACAACGGCCGTTTGATATCCGATAGAATCATAGCGCACTTCCCCCCGACTACCGAACCGAGGAGTGCAGAGCACCGTGACGAGCAGCGGTCGGTCAAGCCGGCAACGGCAACGTGCCAGCTTTTCACTTTCTCTCATTGAAAGGGCCTTGAGAGGATGAAAGTAAAGCCAAGACCATCGAACACGTGTGTGTTCTTTCTGCTTGCGCGAGCAATACCTTGTCTGTCAAGAGGCGTGATAGGGAAGGCGCGCGCAGCGACGTAGGTCACTGCTGCAGAAGCCTCGAGGGCATCTAAACAACAACGACGGCAACGTGCATCATGCCCCCCGGACACCCGGTGACGACGCGGACGACGATCAGAGGACCCGCCTTCTCCTCTCTCGGTTCCGACGGGCCTTCCCGGTCGACCTTGGCCCCTCCGGCTTCGGGGAAACACCGCACGAGACCGCCTTTATAAGGCGAGTCGAGGACCGCTGAGAACCGCAGTCCTGTTGCAGTCCTCCAGAACTACAGGTGAGTGACTGGAGGCTCTAGGGTCTTGACGATGTTCCCGAACCTACCTTAGCTCACTTTGCTCCAAGCGGGAGGTATTCCCTTGACTCAGGTCTCATTGCGAGTGATTTCAAAGAGACATGTGCGACTGTCTCATGGGTAGTTACAACCGATAAACGACTTGAGGTTAATGTCTCGCCGCTGTTCGTTTACTACCTTAGCGACCAGCGGAAAGTCACGCCCACCTTCGGTGTATGGAGGTATTGTTGCGACTGCTTTCGATGAGGCCGCTGCTACTGTCTTGTGGGTAGTCTTGAGAGCTTTGAGTATCAACCTAGTCCATCCTGGTGCATGCACTTTACTGTCATTGTGATTTGGTCTGTTAAGCTTGATGAATAGCCTTATTGATCTGGCTTCGTTACAAAGGAATTCTTAAGAGAGTATTTGGTAACGCTTCAATATCTACAATCCTTAACTTTATCTTGAATGAATGTGGTGTTTCTGACCACGACTTCTAGAGAACAAGGCCGTAAGGTAATGTCTATAGAAAGCTTGCCAAACATAGTCTCGACCTGTAGGGTTAAATAATGAACTTTCTACTTGGCATATAACTAGGGGCATTACTGAAATGAGGCCATCACTTTATCGCGTTCCTCGCCCTCTGCAGTCTTATGCTATTCATTTTTTTTTTTTTTTTTTTACGTTCATACAAATGAGTAGATAAATAATGAGCTTGGTCCTTTGGATACCTCTAATCAAACATTCTTCATTTTTCTTCCAGCTGTGATCAGTGCGATGCAAAACGTTCTCAGATAAATGGCCAAGCCTATATATTTGAGAAAACATGGTGTATAACACTCTTTTCAGGGGCCAGTAAATTTCTCTATCAGGTTTTTACAGCGACAATGTAGGACGCTTCGATTCCGAGATAACACCTTTGTGACAAATCTACAGGAATCTAGAAAAAAAATGGTCAAATATTAGTATAAAACAAATTCCGAACCTTACCTCTCTAAAAGAAGCAATAATTATAACTACATAGACAAGTGCTGTTAGACCAAGTCTTGTCAAGCATACTATTTAATCTGAGTTTACAATTAAGTTTTCTGCACCAGCAGATGGCTATAGAGTTCAGTCCTTCAAATTACATAAATATCTGAAAGTAGGTAACCCATCTGTTCTAACTCCATGTAAGGAACAAAGCTAATGGCGTAACTCTTATTATTGTTTGCCTTTTTCGTTGCAGAATCAACATGATGTCCTGCAAGTCTCTCCTCGTGGCCCTCGTGGTCTTGGCAGCTTTGTGCAGCCTCGCCGCCGCCCAGTTCGGCTACGGAGGCTACGGCCGCGGCTACGGAGGTTACGGCCGTGGATTCGGCGGAGGCTACGGCCGCGGATTTGGCGGAGGCTACGGCCGCGGTTTCGGCGGAGGCTACGGCCGCGGTTTCGGCGGAGGCTACGGTCGCGGATTCTACGGTTGAGCCACGACTTCGATAGCGACGACGATTTGAATGTGCCACGCAAGACCACGCGGGGAAGCACGGAAGGAGCAGAATCTGCTGAGAAGAAGAAAACGAATAAATTATTTCTTCACCCACCAACACGGACTCACAGATTCTTCTTAATGGGAGGGCCGATTTGGTGTTTTCTAACGTACTCATGTGATCAGGCCTATTTGTTTTCTTTCGAAAGTTTCACAACTGTCACTACTGTTAGGCTGATGAGAAAAAGCTAGGTGTGTTCGTATAATGGTTTGAATCAGGTACCGGTACCGGTGCCTTCACAGTTAAAAGGAGTCCCCAAGTAGCGGGTCTCCTTCTGACCCTTAAGCTAGAAATGACACCGCGCTATTCCATTGGAAGCGATATTTCCACATCAGTAAGTAAACTTAAACACGCCCTTCTTTTTTTGTGCGTGTTTGAACAATGCCTCTTCGATAGGCGAAGCAGGTACTCCTGACATTGCGGGGTGACCTTCACGAAGTGGCATTTGCATGTTACCCTATGCAGAATCTTTGAAATCAGCTTTTGAAATGTTACGAGATATGCGCAACACACTTTTTTTTAATTGGAATTGTAGCAAAAGTTGTTGAAGTCGTGAGTTTGAGCAACCTAGGAGATTTGGCAGCGTACGCTTCCTTCCTACCAATGATAACACGATACTCATGTACTTGACGCTTTAGCAAGCAAGTAGAAGAACAACTGAGTCAAACTTCAGGGGTTCAAACAGAAATTAGACAAGATACGTCTGAAGGCTTCTACACACAGTTACGTTCGAGAGCCTTGGAGTGCGTTTGACTGAGTTGCGGCTGCGATAAACCAGGACATCCCTGGTTCTAATCTAAAGTGCCAAGCTATTTCTTGGATTGGAGTCCGCGCATCATACGAAGCACAGGTGGGCCGGTGACTTGCTTTCGTTTCTCAACGCAACACAGTCAAACGCACTCAAACGCTCTCAAACGCAAATGTGCGTAGGGGCGTTTAGAGCACACTCATTCTATGGCAACTATAACTATAGCAGGAACAACAAGTATTTACGAAAGTTAATCTAATCTGAAGGCACACAGATGTGTGGAAACTTCAGCATCGACTTATGCTCGTACAATGCCCGTAGCCGTTCTTCTTTTTCTTTTCTTTTCTTTTTGGCAGAATGTATTTTACTCGATTTCTGCTCATGTTGCTCATGATATGAACAAGCCGGTTCAGGCACAACTTTCTAACACAATATTTACTTTGTTTTGTTATCTGCATGATTATTAGTATAATATTGTAAGAAATTTTAAGATGTTAGATATCTAAAAAAAAAGCAGATTTCGTTTAATTAAGGCTTTATTTATCGTTTCAACTTCTGGGTTGACTCGAAGAGTGTGAGAATGTCACACCCGCAAAACGCAACCGTGATTGGTAATGGGATGTCGGATGTCCAATTTTTCAGCATTCTATTTGCTATATCAGCTATTTGCTAAAGTTGCCAAGAATGCACTTTGTTTAAATTCATTCATCTAAGTATCACCTACTTGTAAGTTCCACCACCCCTCACTGCAAACCAACTTCCCCATCACCCAGAAGCAAATGGAACAAATTATCCGACCACATCACTACTACTACACCGCAACCCACTGCCCTTTCTACCTTCAACTCTCATAACTTGCTAGGAAAAAACTTTCAGCCTTTCCACTCTGGTGCAGAAGGAAGAGAAGCGGAGCTGGTAGCTTCGGTTCTCGGCGGTGGCTTTCCAGGCGAGCGATCTGCTCTTCTTTCGCAAGAGAATCTGAAGCGCTCGACACAGTGGAACTTCAGGCGATAGCGGCCTCGCGGCGGTTGCGGAACCATTCATGCTGCTGCGCACATCGCCGCTCGTTCCGTTCCCGCTCTTCTTCTTCTGAAGAAATGTTGCCGCCATCTATGGGCGACGGCTGCAACCAGTTGTCTGGTCGCAGAGGCTGGAAAAGTTGCCGCGATCTATAAGTGACGGCGGCAAGCAGACAACCGGCAAACACAACACTCTGGGCAGCTACCGCCATCTATGAGCGACGGCGGTAACCAGAGTGTTGCGTCGACCATGGGCGTCGACACTTGTTTGGTACCGGACACGATCCTGGGGAAACTAGTCCTTAACAGCTCCGCTGTGAAAACTTTCATACCCGTTGTTTTACTTCATTATTTATTTATTTATACTGACATTTCTTACAGGGCTGTTGCAGGAGTTGTAATTGCACTGCAAAAACGAACACATTCATGAACACACAATTTAAAAAAGAACATCAACACATACAAACAGATAACGTATCGTGTTCTTTTTATGGTTTTGAGTAGTACTCCTACATCATCAAGCTACTTCAGCCAGAAATAACAAAAACCCGGCAAATCTACCGAACGATCAATTTATGTATGAAAAAAAAAGGATAAAACCAGCGTATCCTATCAAACATGACAAAAAAATAAAAAAAAAAAAAACGGGACTGTGAGTGAAGACGACGCATCGTTTTTACCGGCAGTCTCGGGATTTCTCTTAAGCCTAATAGTCACCAGCTCGTTTGCGCTTTTACATTCCGTTCAGTATCTTATATCAGTTGTACATCGGTGCTTTCCTGAAAAGCCGCACTTCTTTTTGCGCGTTCCTTTTCGACAATACGTGCGCATCAACCTCCCCTCGCAGCCGATGGACGTAGTCGCGAAAAGAAGACTGCGATCTACACAATCAGTTCGGAGAATGACAACACCTAAATAACCGTTTCACTACACTCATCATATGTTTATGAGGTGTGTTTTCGGCGTTCTTGTCACAACCTCATTGGTTGCGGAGAGATCACAAGACGGTCCAGATTCGTCACGTCCCAGGTTTCATTTTCGTGTTTAATTTTTAAGATTGACAAATTTGCGAGAAAAAACAAAACAATAAAAGAAAATCGTGAAAGCTACACTAATGCGGTTTGTGCAGGCGAGTTATGCGGAGTAGAGGACATGATATAGGAGAGCCAATAGTCACGATAAAATGAATAATTAACTAAAATGTGTTACTTAATTATGTTTTAGTTGTGAAAATAGACACACGGTTCCAAATACACTTTCAGAAAAAAAAAAATTATATTTTTACACCCCTTGTTTCATATACGACAGCCCAAAACTGTATTTCGACGTATAGCGCATGGACGACGAACAGACGGCTTTTTTTTCTGGTCAGCAACACGTTTATTAGCTATTTTAATAAGTTGTGCCACTCGGCCAGTCGTGAAAGTTTGGCACCGTCGGTTCGACATGAGCGCGCTGTACGTCGAAAGGAAGTTTTGGGGTGTCGTATACGGGACGAGGGGTGTAAGAATGTACCCTTTTCTTCTGACAGTGCACGAAATTGCCTAGAGTCGTAGAAAGCCACTAAATGGGTCATTTTTAGAAATAATGGAAGCGCGTGGCACGCTCAGTGGTGCGCTAAAATTATCACTCTTGCAACCGGCATAATACCATGGGGTGAGAAAACACAGGCGATAAACTACGCACGTGCTCCAAGTATTTCTAAGATTGACTGATTTAGCGGTTTTCGATGATGCTCTGTCAGTTTCTTATTAGAATCATGTGTTTATTTCGATAATTTAAAACGTTAATGAAGATATTTTAGTTAATTATTCGATTGAAAGTTACGCTTTGCTCCCTTTACCGTGTCCCCCTGGCCGTATAAGTCAACTTCACAAACCGCGTAAGTCTAGTTTTTACTTGTTTCTCTCTTTTTTTTTTATCTGTTAAGCTAAAAGAAACAGCCTGTCTGGGGATATTTACTCGACGTCATATTTGAAGCTAGCCTAGGGGACGCTAAACAACTGCGAGTTACTACTATACTACCACTACGTCATATTGTCACGAATTAAGGCGACGAGAAAGCAAAGAGTAAACTGAAAATAAAGGTTTAATGGGCGAACAAAAATAAGTAACGGAAGAGCGTCGAGGCAGCAGAAAAGCGGGCGGCGATTCGGCGGCACTACAGAGCGCTAGCGAGACTGAGACTGACTCGACAAGGTCGCGGGAGCCGCTTATCTACCCTGCGTCACTATCTCGAAAGTTCGGCAAAGAAGGTTCGAGCGTCGCGCGCTCGGGGCGAGGATGAACTGGCACTTTCGAGAATAACAAAGCAGAAGGAAAGTTACGTCTGCTGCGAGAATGACCGGGAATCTTCTAGAAGACCGTGACCGAGCGTTGCCTTCTCGGCTCTGCGGGTGGCATTATCCCCCCTTTAAAAGTGCATCGCCCCGATGCAAAACGAAAGGAAAACGGAAATGGCTAAAACAATTACGGCGAAACAAAACAAACATGCAGTTTCGCAATCCTAACGCGCGTAGAACGGCTTGAGTCGAACTACGTGGACGACTTCGGGTCGTGGCTGGCGGCGTCCTGATGGGCGAGTTCCGTCGGGGAGCACCTCGTAGTTCAAGTCCCCAAGGCGGCGGATGACCTTGTAGGGTCCGAAGTAGCGTTTTAACAGTTTCTCGCTGAGGCCGCGGCGGCGAATGGGCGTCCACACCCATACCCTGTCTCCGGGCTGGAACTCCACGTCGCGGCGGCGAAGATTGTACCGGCCAGCGTCCACACGTTGCTGGTCCTTCATTCGAAGACGGGCTAGTTGGCGTACTTCTTCTGCTCGTTGGGTGACCAGCTGGGAGTCGTCAGTCCCGTCGTCCGTCGGGTTGTGGGGCAGCATGGCGTCGAGCATCGTCGTCACCTTTCTGCCGTGCACCAGCTGAAAGGGTGTAATGCCGGTAGTTTCTTGAATCGCCGTGTTGTACGCAAACGTGACGTAGGGCAGCACTTCATCCCACGTCTTGTGTTCCACGTCCACGTACATAGAAATCATGTCGGAGATGGTCTTGTTTAGTCGCTCCGTCAGCCCGTTGGTCTGCGGGTGGTATGCCGTGGTCCGGCGGTGGTCGGTGTGGCTCAGGCGGAGTATCTCTTGTGTCAGTTGCGCCATGAACGAGGATCCTCGGTCCGTAATCAGGACTTGGGGAGCGCCGTGTCGGAGGACGATAGACTCCACGAAGAATTTGGCTACTTCCACGGCGGTCCCCGACGGGAGTGCTTTTGTCTCGGCGTACCTGGTGAGATAATCAGTT